TCTGCGCTACTAACACCTCAGCCATTATTTCAAAACATTTAATTCAACCAAGAAGTGAGCAACGCACAGTTGCCTGCGCGGCATTAGCAAAACAATGAGCATTCGCTTGGATAATAATATCAATACAGTAATTAGAATATAAGCAATTGACATCAAAATAATTACGTACATTCGTGAAATGTTTCTCGCAGTAAGATAACAGTTAGAATAGCATCTCCGAATTCTAACATCGTCACTTTAGATACGAAAAAACACTATTCACACATAATTTATCAATTTAATTCATTTCTTCAGTTCAGATATTACAATAAATGTACCTACACGGACCACACTAAATTCAAAGAAGGCAATCGATCAAATAGTAATTAACAAAACCACTACTCGATATGCAATTGAAACAGAAGATTTAGGATTCAGTGGTCACGATGCACAAATTCTATTATTAGAAATGCGAACACAATAACTAATACACCTATGAGTAGATTATTTACTAAAATTAAAATAAAATTATTCGCCAATTACTTGCTGCAAGAATCATGGGACATGTTTTATAATACTAATGATACAAACAATAAACAATTATTTTTTTTCTACACTTTCATTTCAACACTTGTTTTCCTCTTCAAAAAAGAAAATTAAATATTTCACGGAAAAGCAATTATTGGATAACACAAGGGATTAGGACATCAATTCTTTCTTTCATTTCTAAGCATCATAACGTATCTCAAGACTTCCTTCACAACTTTAAAAAATACAAATCATTATTAAGAAAAGTCATAAGGCAGGCTAAAATCATGAAACATCACTACGATATTTTAAACTCAACAAAACAAAAGCAACGTGAAATAGAGTAAAAAATAGACCAAATCAACTAGAAACTATGTAGAGAAGATTGTTTTAAAAGATAATGATAGAATTGTGAACGATCCGGCAACAGTGGCTAGTCTCTTTAACCAATACTTTTCGAGAATTGCTGCTGATCTCACTAAGGATATTCAGTCACAAAATTCAGTAACAGATGTTTCTCCAAAAATTTGCACGATGTTCTTTTCCGAAACTTGTTGCTATGAGATTCTCAAATTAATCGGTAGACTAAAAAATAAATATTCGTCCGGTTTAGATGAATTTCCGGACTGTTTGTTAAAGACTTGCGCGCCTACCATTATACAACAGATATTTTAAAAACAGCTACGATTAAGACGCTTTTCAATAATGGCAACAAAATTGAAATTCAAAATTTTTCGGTACGAATGAAAACATTTCTTTGTAAACACAACGCATTTCCAGATTGCCAAGATGGGTTACGAAAATTAAAATCTGCGGAAACAGCCATATTTTCTTTTATAAAGGACTTCGCCTCATCCCTGGGTCAAAAAGAAGTACGTATTGAAATATTTTTAGATCTTTCAAAAGATTTTGACGTTATTGATCCTAACATTTTCCTTTCAAGATTATCCTCGTTTGGAATTTGTGGTATTGCTCTAGATTGGTTATGTTCGTACATTAAAAAACGATCTCAGAGAGTAGAAATACCTTACAGGAATAATGGAACATTATGTACACATCTTTCTGATTTTTTGCCAATTGCATGTGAAGTCTCGCAGGGATCGATTTGATGCCCTATTCTCTTCCTACTATACGTAAACGATATGCCCTCGAATATTCTTTGCAATAAAGAAACCGTAAATAGTACAATATCATATATTTTTTTAAATTGGTTTCGAAGTAACAAATTAATAGTAAATGAAAAGAAAACCGTGGAAAGTGTGTGTGTGTGAGAGAGAGAGAGTTTATTTTAAACCAGTATTTTTCTGTATGTAATTGGAAATGGGAGAGGTAAAGGCGTAGAAAAAGACACGATTGCTCATTTTTCATTTGTAATAAATGTATTGATACATCCATTATATGCAATGACACATGTTGAGAAAAACAAAATTACTCAATTTAAATCAACTTAAAATTAATGGTACGTTATTTTATTTATATTATGGCACAAATATTTCACAACTACCTACTTTCAGGTCCTAGATTTATTAAGAGCCGATCCTTCGAGCCTCAGGATCGTATTGTCGGTGGATCTGAGACTTCCATAACCGATTTTCCTTACGTGGTAAGTAACTAATAATTTCTGTATTAAAAAAATGCATCGTTTCAATCTTCATTTATATTAGGCTCACTTAGTGAATGCGCTTAAAAATTAAAGGATTATACTCGCATCAAAAATTAACAATATTGTGAGCGAGACATATGACATTACTCTGAATTAATTTGATGTTAAATTACTCAAAATCTGCTTGTCCTCTTCTAAACATTTTTAACATTCAAATATTATATTTGAAAGGCATTCTTCTGATTACAGTTTTTAAAGTTAAGGCAGCAAAATGCTTTTGAATCTTTAATGTAAAAATGTGATAATGTTTTACTTATTCGTATATGTACGTATATAGGAGAACAAACATGGTAAGTGTAAGAGATAGTTACGTCATACTGCGGGAAAACGATTTCGAGATTTTAACGGATATGTTGTATGTGTGTGGAGAGTATGTCTTGAGGAAATGAGGAAAACCAATAAACGGAGCAAAAGCGATTTTCAAAAAGTACAAATTCTCTTCATTTTAGAAAATTAAAAAAGTTTAGTTGTTTATTTGTCGGCCTGATACTGATTTTAGTATTCAGATATTTTCCTTCAAATTAAAGCTGTTCTTCAAAATTTGATTTTTAAGCGAATTCATGTATTTTTTTTCTTTTGAAGCTATTTTCTGAAAAACTTCTCCAATTTTTTTTCACGACGCCTTGTTCGAACAAAGCTATATATTCTGAATTTCATTATTTATACGCCATTTTGACGTATTATGTTTATATTTTAAAGTTAAACAAATAACTTATTTTTTGTCCCGTCATTATTTACAATACGTATGAATTTTATACATTACTGCATTTGCGAGTACAAGTTCTTTCAATTGTTTTAAATACGTTTCTCAAAAATTTAAATGATTTCTTTTAAAATGAACACAAAGAACACCTTCTCAGGATTGCTCCAAAGAATATTTTCTCAAGAATGATCTAAATTTTTGATGAATATTTGCATGTGCTCTTGCATGTTTTACTTTTCTATGATATTCTTCAAGTCATATATCAACTCTATTATTTTGTACCAAATATTTGAGAAATGTGAAAAAATATCTTTTAGGATCATATAGAAATATTCTGCACAATTGCAACCGAAACTTGAGTTTCGACAGTATACTTACAGGCAGTTTTGAAACTTTGCATTTGATATTATTCATCCAGCCTTTCTTAAAAAAAACAACAAATTTTTGCTACTATGTTTCGACTAATTATGAAAATAAAGTTATTTAAGGAAGTACTGATTTGAACATTTTTTGTCTATTTGCAGGCGTCATTACAGTACAGAGGAAAACACGCGTGTGGAGGTTCCATCATTAGTGAAAACTATGTTTTGACTGCAGCCCATTGTGTTCACGAGTAAGTAAAAATGTACTTCTGGACAACACTATTTAAATTGGGTTTGAAAGAAGTTAGGTTTGATTACTGGGACTTCGCAATACATTTCTGATTAACTTATTTCAGCGAACTATGTATGTCTAAAACATCAAATGCACTTCACATATAAAACGCCGCGGTGTAATGAGATGCAATCGCACTGCGTTAGCAGACTTACCTAGTGCTGGCCACAGCACCGAACAAACTTCCGTCGCACTCCAATGAGTAGGTGTGTGAAATAATAGTCCTGACATCTACAGTACCTGCAGCAAATAAACGACTTTGTGAGTTCTCTCGACACGTGCTGTGGTACATGTCCCCTGCTACGAACAAATGGGCTTGCTAGGATGTGTTCACGTCCTCACAGCCACGGTTCAGCGTTGCCGCTCATCACACTCACACGAAGTCGAGGAGGCGATGGGGTTCGGCTTCGACGAACATAATACAAAGGCATGTAAAGCCTGCCAATAAGTGTTATTGTTTTCAGATTTAATGTATCTGTATTGCAGGTGGTACCATGTGAGTAGCAATGTGTGGCAACGTAGCGAACTTTACTGTCGCTAATAGTCGCGTATACGCAGCCGGTACTGTAGGGTGAAATCGTAATTGTCTTTTATGAAGGATTGATAAAAAAATGAATATTTTGAAGCCGTTTGGGGGAAAATTTTGTTTTTGTACAATTTTTAAATTTCACATATTACACGCAATATTTGCGACAAAACTTCTAAAAGAAAAGCGCGGGAAAATTTTAAATTTCGTGATTTTTGAAAATTTAATGAAACCGTGAAAATTAGACCTTTGCCGCCTTAAATATGTTTTACTCCCATTTTTACAATAAATTTAAAGAATACATTTTAAGTCCTTGACAAATGTTCAAAAATGGCTGGGTAGCTTTATGTAAAGTACCCCAAAATTTTGAAGAAAGTGTTTCAAAATCGAAGCGCCTTGATTCGAGATAGATCGATCGAGGAATATCCATTTGCGAAAAAAATCCTACGTATTGCTTAGGCACTAGTGGTGTTCACAGACGAAATCTGGAAATCGATTTTCTGCGGCTTTACGAAACTTTCTCGATACAACGTGTATATCCCGTATCTACGTACGTAAACTAGAAACAAACAATGGGTTTCAAGTCACCAACAACACACATAGCCGAATCTCATGACCAATTAAAACTATTTCGTAAGAAACTACTAACAATTAATACTCATTTCGGCGACGGTCACAGGGCTACTGGCTTCAGCGGCGGTCGCTGCGGTGAGACAAGATTCTACGGTTTCAGCGCAAAGAACTTGATAATCAAATTATTTGTTACCTGTACCTTCCTCAACGAGTCAAGCAAAGCACGACGTTGCTCTGGTCCGAGAGTCGTCCCTCCGTGAATTCAGGACGTATGCTCGATCTTAACTTTGAGTCTCTCCATCTCTAGATGTGAGCAAATTGTTTCGTTTGCAACGCCCCGTTTCAAAGAGAGCGAGGATTTTCTTTACTGTAGTGGATGTGTTTATGTTTTGTGCAGTTCGGCCGAGACGTACACAGTGCGAGTGGGTTCCACCGAAAGCGGAAACGGTGGAACTGTGTTGGAAGTGAAGAAATTCATCGTCCACCCGAAGTACGACCCCGAGATATTCTTTGATTACGACATAGCGCTGGTGGAACTCAAGAAGTCCATCGAGATATCACCGACGTCGCAGACAGTGGAGCTGCCTGAGGAGGGAAGGCCAGTGGAAGTGGGCGAGGTTGGAGTCGTCGCTGGTTGGGGCAGACTCAAGGTGCGTATTGCTAGCGCACACGTTTTCTTGATTCCCGGAATACGCACACCCACTCCTTCCCAACATTAGTTGAATTAAGAATAAATTACAGCAGCGATCGTTGCACACAAAATATGATAATTAGAAATATTCGCTCCCGGTAATAGCAAGTATTTTGCATCGAAAAACGAACTACAAATTCGATGTAAAATTCAGTTTTTCAAAATAACCAAACTCCCACTTCTCTCGCAAAAAGTGAAGCGTTGGCTGAAGCTAACGCGCACGAATAATACTCTCTATGGGCGTTTTTGGTGTCGAATTTTTAGTGGGCGTTTTAGTTATACGCAATTGCATAACATACGTATTAGAAAAATCGATTGCCGAAGTAACGTCTGTCTGTCCACTACGTCCGTCTATTTGTGCACAACTCTAGCGTACAAACCGTTCTGTCGGTTTCCCCCCAGTGTTGAGATTCTAAGTCATTCTAGCTGATATCGCGGCCCCTATAATTTGAAACCGATATTTTAATTTTGGAGAGTACTTTACATGAAGCCCATCGAACATATTCAAAAATGTTTAACAAATAGCTACAAAATTTGGATTAAATTTTGTTGTAGAACAGTGCGAAGAACGTTTAAGAGAGAAGTGCAAGTCCTATTTTTTATTAAAATCCCCAATTTTTCGAAAATTGAAGTTAAAACTTAATTAAAAATTGATGATACAGACAAAGTCTCAGACAATGTCCATTGTACCACATTTGCTCGTTAAAAATGGCATGTATATTTGTTTACAAAAAGAGTAGGTGCGTGTAATTTCTGCTTGAAATTAATTTAATATATTCAGATATCACTACGTGTGTATAAGAGAAAACAAAACGTATTTGTATATAAAATGTTTATTTATTCACTTGTCAAATTGTAATACATTTTAAAGACAGGGTTCTAACCTTGCCACAAAACATCTACACGTATATTCATAAATTAAATGGGAATCGTTTTGTACACAATAATGTTCTAAGAGAGTTCTTATTTTACAGACTGGCGGTAAATTGCCCACGAAGTTGCGACAAGTGTCCGTACCCGTGACGGATATCGAGCGCTGTAACAGAACGTACTGGAAAGAACTAACGCCCAGAATGTTCTGCGCGGGAGAAGAGGATGGCGGACGTGACGCATGCCAGGTGGGTTTCCTCCAGACAGACGAAACCATCTGCCCAGATTGATTGATTGACTAATGATTACAGGAACGTCAACCGCTAAGGCCATTAGTCCTGTTAGGGTAGCGCAGGTTTTTATCACGGGAGGTGGCGGTTATCTTTCTCCACTAGATGATGAGATCCGGTGCCGATCTACCTCGGAATGCGGGGATTTTCCTCAACTAGGTATCTCCCACAAGGTGGCACTGCCCCCGCCGGATCTACCTCTAAGCTTCCGACTGACCTACAGACAAGAAGTGTGAGGTGAGGAAAAGGACAAGAAAGAGGAAAGAAAGATCGCGCGCGGCCCGTTTATTAGGGTACTGGTCCAGGTTTGTCTGGCTTTGAATCGGAGAAACCACAGAAAACTGCCGATCAGATCAGCCGGCGGCAAGAATTGTAATCCAAATAGCAACTGATCTACCTAGCTGGAGACACCGCCGTCTGTTGGGCCAAAAAGAACGCGGGAATCCCAACCCCGCTTCTAAAAATCCGACAGGAAGCATGCATCTCCGTCAGATTGCGTAGATATCGACAATACTCACGTCGCGTTCTGGCGAGATCCAGACACACGCCGGACCGTGTACTTGCACACCAGAAGAGGATGCAGAACGTAGCACGACAGGCCAAGGCACCCACCCTGAATACGCCATGATATAAACAAGTTAGAAAACCAGTCCGGTCATTTATTGATGATGTAAGTATGTGTCTATATATATATATATATATATATAATTTGAGAGAGAGAGAGAGAGAGAGAGAGAGAGAGAGATGCATACGTATTTCTTTCCAGCACATTGCCTACCTCTTGTGATTTAGTGTGATCCACGTTGCTTGTGTAGTATTGTTTACGAAGTCATTTCTGTCTTATATTTATGTTTGTCCTTCCATTGTTTAAGGTTATTTCTTGTATTTCCTTTTCCTTATAGATCTTCTGAAGATGGAAGTGTCCCCGATTTTTTAAAATTTCTTTACTTAGTCAAAAAACAGTAAAAACTGAATGTGACGTGTAGGGGAAACCTATGAATGTTGACTTAGGGATGTTTTAATAAATAAAACTTTTCTTGTTGGTTTTGATTATTTTTTAATTCATTTTATGGAGAACCATCAACGAATTTATATTTCATAAAAATATCAGGTCATTAATTCGAAAGAAATAACGTGTATTTCCGTGTTCCGCAGGGCGACTCCGGGGGGCCGTTTGTAATAAACGACACGCAAATAGGTATCGTGTCGTTTGGACTGGAATGTGGAAAAGCAGGTACTCCCGGGGTATATAGTAATGTTCCAGTGCTGCGATCGTGGATCTCGAAGAAGGCTGGTGTTTGATACCAGTTGCATGGATTTGAATAAACACTCTTCAGCTAAACGACTTTCAGTTGTTTCAAAGTAGTGTTGCAAGAATTTATGGTATGACTATCAATTCCAACTTTATATAACGTCATTTGTTTGTTTTACTTTCACTGCGTAACCAATTTTATCAGGTTGACTGTTGTGTACCCAGAAATGTAAATTTCCCTACGGTTCATGAAATAATAATAAAAATAATAATAATAAGTTCTTATTTCAATGGGAATTTAGAAAATAATTTCTTATTCACGATTGTTTTAATCATGCGACTGCATGTCACCTGTCAAGAGTTAAAAAATGTAATATTGAGCTGGGAACAATAAACCATCTAGTGGTGCAACAAAATACTACAGACTTTACTGTATAACTTATTTTCTATTCTCTTGAATCGAAGCTAACGTTTTGGTTCTATCCCACCCTTTTCGCAGCACCAACCAATCAACCCCCTAAAAGACCTGCGAGTTCCTTTTGCAGTGAATATCACCTACCGCTCCTCTGGAGATTTTCACAGTGAATATCACCTTCCCGCTCCCCGAACATCGAATGGGCCTATCTTTGTCCTGTCTTTACATAATTGCTCTTGTATCTTTTGGCGCCTTCTCAGCATTAACCACTGTTGTAGGTGCATTAGGTGTACAGGCGGTTTCCTGCAAGGTCAAGAGATTATGAAAGTTTAGAATATAGTTCACAAAAGAGACTCTGAATACCTCCTACGACACGAAGACGATTTCCCATACGCAGATTATCACAATCCTACTGTCAACGTAGTTGGACTCACATGTTCCAAGCCCTATCTTAAGAAGCCGAATCACTTGACTGTACATTTTGTAAAGGGATCGAGGAATCAAGGTTAAGTAACGTAACAATAGCTATAATAATCATAACAATAATTTGATAATATTATGACTAAAACCGATCTCTTTACGGATTTGCGGCACCAATGGGCATTGCAGCATTGAACTCGTAGGTTGGTAAGTGAGTTTAACACCATTTGTTTGTAAAGCAATAATACATGTTTTAGCATTAATTGTTTAATATGACAAAGTTCATTCCGGGGAATGTTTTTTGTTTTCTTTTATTTATAATCATACAAAAGTACTTTGTTTGGAAGATCTCTCTTGCTGCTAATATAGACATTTCCATCTATTTGTAAACACTCTAATTAGTGAGTAAATGTGCGTTAAATGACTTCACATAAAGTTATTCAAAACTCAAACACTTTATGTGAAAATAGTTTCGAATTTCAATTTACAAAAGCGCTTAAACGCCATTTCCTTAAAAACTACCTCAAATTTTTCAAAGAAAATTGCAATTTATGACGAGGTTTTACTGTTCTTTAATATTCTTAAAATAATATCTCCGTCCTATTCTTATAAAACCGAAAAACTGAGAAAATTTGAAAAATAAATGCAATTTGGGTTGCAATAGATGGCTGCTGGCAGGAGTCTGTGGAACGGCTGAATAGTTTGCAGAGACTAAAGGAATAGAAAACGAATACGAAAAAGTCGCTGCCATTTGTAGTCCCAGTAGTTTCATATTTTTCTCAAAATTTTGGACTCTTTATAGAAAACGTTTAAAAATCTGAGAGATCAAGGTCAACATTTTAATTAACTATTAATCTTGTTACAAAAAATATCTACTTCGAAAAATGTATATTAGCACAAAAATATATTAGAAAACTATTTGAAACAGTGATTGCTGTGAAACATTTGTAAAGGCAGTATATCTATAGCCATTGCGTATACAGATATACTCTAATTTTTTTTTCACAATCAGTGTTGTAAATGATTCTTTAATCTTGGCGTTTCTGCTAACTAGTCCCAACAACTATTGTTGTGAATATTTTCTGAACACGCATTGCCTTGTTCCGAAATTTCCAATATTATGTTACAAAATACTGTGTGGGGAAAATGGTCAATAGAAAAATACTCGTTTAATTAAATAGTTAAATGGTATGTAAGCATAATTTAGAGGATTTGGATGAATAAAATGTTTAATTTTTTAATGTTATCCTTCTTATTTCTCACACATCCTAATGTAATAGACTAAACTCTTGCACCGAGCGAAGTGGCTCAGTGCAATACGTGGTTTCCCTCAGTCATAAGGCGAATGCTGGGATGGTTCAACAAGTCCACGATTACCTTTCACCAATATCCTATCACCTCCTAATCCATTAGGTTGTCCCTTCACTTATCATCATCCTATCATCTCATAATTCACACTACAATGCGTAACAACCTTGTTGTAATCCAAGGATACAGCTGAAAAGCTGATTCTGGAAGAATTACACACGTTAATCGTGTAGCGTGGTCAGTAATGGCATATACGCCAATAATAATAATATTAATAATAAAGTATTGTAATCGTGTGCCAGTACACTGCGAATTTTTGACGCAAAAACTCTGAATGCCGGGCCCTGATAACGATAAAGTTGAAAAAAATATAAAACTTATTCCTCTAAAACATGGTGTAGCGCGAACCCATGTTTTGTGCGTACTCACACCAAAACATCGATTGACAGTAAAACATTTGTAACGGCAGTATACGTATCTATATGCCTGTCCGTCAATCTGTGCACAACACCAGCGCATAAACTATTCAGATGATTTTTTCTCAAAACTGATATTTTCCAAACGTACTAGCTGATGTTGCTGACCCTGGAATTTGAAATTGAAATTTTATAATTAGGGCGTACTTTACATGAAGACCCTGGGGACATATACAAAATTTTCAAGGGCGTTCAAGGAAATGGTGGAAGTCTTATTTTCGTTTAAATACACGATTTTTCGAAAATCGCAGCAACAAAAAATGTAAACTACAAAATGGAAAATGGCGATTTTTGCCTCTCATAAAGTATGTTGTAAAAAATTGCTGTTTAGTAATAGTTGTGTAAATTATTTTTGAAAAAAAGTAGCAATTTGCAATTTGCTCTAGAAATTTACGATTTTTTCACAAAAATCACTATAAATCTTTCCTTACATTTTCTTCATTTATGTAATGAGAACGGTAAAAATGGTGCTGGTCCCATTTTCGAAAATTGTCCGTTTTTTTTCGAAAATTGCACAAAAATTTTTTCAAAACTACTACTTAATTTGAAGATTGAGATATTTGCCTCATTCAAAGTCTTTTTTACAAATTTAGCTGTTTGAAAAGTTAATGTTTATTTTTTTTGTAAACGTTAGTAGTTTTTGCGTAATTTCTGTTTGAAATCAATGATGAATATATGAGCGTCCCGACGTACAATATGTACAATAACGACAATATGGTGATATTGCGAGAAAGTATGTGCTGTTGAAGCACCACAAGTTTCTGATTTTTGTCGACCCCTTTTAATTGTAAAAAATGTTCTTCTTAGTAACATAAACTAATACTTTTATTTATTTGTAGAATACTGCAATACGATAGTGTTTAATAATTTACTATTATATATTTTTCGATGTATTTGCATTTGTTTGCCAACGCTGTCAGTATCGTATTATTTATTTACTTTTAACTATTTTACTTTCAAGCAAGTACTTACAATTTTATTAATATTTCCCGCTTTATGTCTTTAACTATGTTTCAAATGCTAGTTGAAGTGTCAGACAGAAAATATTAATATTTCAATAATACATAACCATTCACAATATTGCCAGAATGTACGTGCTTTTAGAACACCACTAGTTTTATAACTGCACGTGTGCAGTTCCCATGTTTTTGGTGGAATTCATAGAAAATTAAACACGAAATACATCTCTATTTTCTTTCAAAATGTTGTTTGATACAGTTTATAGAGAAATTTTCATTAAAAACCAATTTTAACTTTTTAATGCAATATATATATATATATATATATATATATA